CAATTATGAGATCCTGGAGGACTGCAGGGGAAGCGGGCCACCTTAAACCTTCCACAGCCGGTGCCAAAATACAGGAAATATTCCAAATAACTCACAGAACTCTCACCCATTTCTTAACAGTGGACGCTGATGTTTGCTGAACGCCCTTCAGAGTACAGCACGGATCCTGCTGCCTGCAGCGTTAGGAAGGACTGCCGATAGACTTTATCTTGGGGATAAGAACCATCCAAAACAGAAGGGTTTGTGGCAGGCCCAAGGCTGCAGGGCAGTCGGTCACAGTACTGCTGTAGGAATCCGAGGGCTTTCCATCAGTCAGGTCTCTATTTGGGAGGGAAACACACAAATTGCACTTTTACCTCTAGCTTGAACGAACAAGCAGAGCAATTTTAGCAAGCTCCTTGAGCTGGTGCACAGGACTGTTGGCCTTTCCTGACATGGGCTTTGACAGAATTTGCTACCGAGAGTGCGCCTTGTCGAGGTCTCTGTAAAATGCAAGATACATTAGATACAAACAGATGGAAGTGTTATTACTTTACTTTCCCTATGTCCTTCCTGATGGCATGCCAGTGTTGGGCAGTAACCTCTTGAAATACCACACAAGATACTATGCAGCCTTATACTGGACTTTTGCAGTACTGTGTACATTCACCAGTGTTTGACACCCTCCACCTTTTCCTTTCCAAATGCAACTCCTTCTGCTTCCTGCTATGGGGATTCATGAAGCAGCGTTGCCACATCTGAGTTGTAGCCTCTGTGGATCTTTTTTCCTTTTGCCTGTCCTCTATAAAACTCATAAAAGACCACACATGCGTACAGGAGGTAGAGAAGGGCTGAACGAAGTCTTGCTGCAGACCTGAAGTGCCCAACCCTTCCCATAACCACCTCTCTCAGTGTAAATCAGCCAGTGTTCAGTCTGATTGAAATGAGCTCTGTGCTTAATTGCCCTTGTCTCTTGGTTTAGGCTGTTGTCTTGTGTGCTTATCTGGAGATGGGAAGTATTGATCTCAGGGATAGGTCTGTGATTGAGCTGGGAGCCGGAACTGGATTGCTGGGAATAGTGGCCACATTGTTAGGTAAGAGCTTTTTTGTTTGTTTGTTTAAAGCAATTTACAACTGTAGTAAAATTGGCACTTTCACATCTACATGTCTGGTATAGAAGTTAACACCAAAGCTACATACGTGAACTGTGATGTTTCTTGTCTGAGTCATCTTCCTTTCTTGTTAGACTTCAGAGCCCGCTGCGTTATTTATTGTAGCAATGGTGCCACTGCAGTTTACTTTATGGTGGGACCCTCTTAAGGCTGATGCCTGTTACCATGGTACTCAGCTCAGCAGCATTCAGTTCTGCAGCTATTCTACCCCAGGGAGCAAGTGCTGTGCTTGCCATCTTCCACTTGTCCTCTTATGCAGCACAGATAAAGCTACAGACAGAAACCACTCTGAGCTTTCGTAAACCTTGTTAGCCTGTCTTGCAGACAGGGAGACCAAGGTCTGGAGAAATGAAGTCGTTTGCCTGTGATGTCTCTGTGGCTGAGGTGCGGACTGGGTGCTATGTTAAGTCTGTGCTAACTGTCCCAGGTTAACTTTGTAATTCATTCAAAGCTCTAGTGGCTGTGGAAGGTGCCTATTGAAATAATAAAACCAAAACAGTTTGACAAAGTACAATCATGCCATGCAAAATCACACAGGCATAGCTTTTGTCTGACCTGTGAAAGAGGCTCTCTAGCTGCCTTTCCCCTGCTGAACAAATACGGAATTGGAGCAGGTTAATTTTAACAATCTCTGTAATTTACTCTGTTGTCACCTATGTAAAGGCAGAAAGTAAGTCCTCTACTTTCATGTACTAAGAAAAAGCTCCAGAAAACACTTTTGGTTCCTTACCCAAATTAATCTTCATGTGGAGTAAACTTTAAATTGTTAAGTGACTGATGAAAGGTAGGATGTATGTAGATAGTGGGGTTTTTGCTTGTTTTGTTCTTTTGTTTGTTTGTTTTTAATCAGGCAGCTCAGGGGAGTTGTTAATATTTAACAGGAACTAAGGAGCTTGCTTGACTTAGAGCACTGTATTCCAACTGCTGTATTTATGGACATGGACTGTTTGTCTGAGACATATACTCCTGTACTGCTTAGGTGCTCGTGTTACCATCACAGACAGGGCGGCAGCACTGGAATTCCTGGAGTCAAACGTGCAGGCTAACCTACCTTCTGAACTACGTCCCAGAGCTGTGGTGAAGGAACTGACTTGGGGAAAAGACCTGGGTAACTTCCCTCCAGGCGCATTTGACTTCATCCTGGGTGCAGACATTGTTTATCTGGAAGAAACTTTTGCAGAACTGCTGCAGACGCTGGAGCACCTGTGCTCAGAGCAAACTGTCATTCTTCTTTCCTGTCGCATCCGCTATGAACGGGATCACAAATTCTTGAAGATGCTGAGAGGCCGTTTCTCTGTATATGAGGTCCACTATGATTCCAGTAAGGATGTTCATATCTACAAAGCACAGAGGGGTAGTCACAAGGATGACTTTTGACTCTGTGCTTTGTTAGTAAATGCTGTTCAATCCTCCCCTTGTTTCTACTCTCAATACACTTGTTCCTAAGCATATAATTGCAGTTGTGTTATTTCACTGGCTTCTTGTTCCGATGGTCTTGTCCAATCACTTGGTCTGATACAGCAAGGATTGTACTTCTGCATATTAAACCTCTGCTTCATTTCTCAGTAGAGTTGTGTAGGGTCTTCCACTGACTTATTATCAAATGTAATTTTTGAAACTGATTTAAGTTGCAGAAATCTCCAGTTATCAAAAATGTCATCAAAAGACCTGTTGGTTAAAATCAAACCTTTCTGTGGGGAACTCAGAAATAGAGTGGTTTTTTTTTTTTTCCCTTTATCACTTCCTTAACTCTAGAAAAGTAAAAGTGGGTGAAATATAAACTAAGACTCCAGCTTTAAATGCTTTAACTCCTCAGGCCTTCTCCATATTGAAAGTTATGGTGAAAGAATCCACTTAAACGGCAAAACCAAAGGCAGCTGCTATAAAGCTGTTGTATAGCTGTCACTGCTGAATTGAAGAGGCATAGGGAAACTAAAAGATCTCTGTGTGTGTGTGTGGGGGTGGGGGTGGGTTGAGAATCAATATTGGAGAGTAAGCTCAACTTAGAAATCAGTGGTGTTTTTTACCTGACTTGCAAGTATGGAGGCTCTACCTGCAATACTGAAGCAGTCGTGGTTCTTGGGTTGTCTTTAACAAGATAACTTTCCCTCGCACAGATCAAGGCTTCTTGGACCAGATACACATCCACATGTGCCAGCAGAGAAAGTGAAACAAGGAGACTCAAACTGTTCTTTAAATATCAAATCAGTCCTTGACTCTCAAAGTAGTGCTAAATAATTTTCTACTTACTGCCTTTGTTTGTGGCTCATTCTATCTCAGAGCTGTTACGTAGAGGAAAGGGTGCTGCTATAAAGGCTTTGTAGCTGAGGGAGTATTTATTCTTGTATTACTTGGGACCTTGGGCCAGTGTCTAGATTTCAGTGTGCTTTCTGTGCACAGTGGTAGTTAGATGCTACCTCGAGACTGTAAAAACATCTCTGTGTGTTTATCCCACAAGATTCTTTGTGAAAGATGCTGCAGCCTGGAATTTGGCTCGCACCAGCAGCAGACTTTCTTCTCTTTCTAGTGGTGGAAGAATGAAATTGGCAAAAACAATGGACTAATAGAAAGATGGGTACGCTTCTAAATGCAGGAATTGCTATAATGTGGAGCATTTTTTTTCTTTAAACTTAACTTACAAAGCCCCAGGGTCAGATTCGGGCTTTCAGTGTGCGCATGTCTTTGGCACTGGCAAGAGCAAACACCAGCAGCTGCTTGGGCCATGGACGTTAGGACTTCCTTCAGATTTCCTGACTGGAAAAGATGCCGAAGGTCTGTGGTCCAGAAGTGATGTGCAGACTGTAATCGGGAAATGACACAGTTATCACTACAGCTCTCATCAATGAGGCCCAGAGATCTTGTGCTTCATCCCTGGTGCTTCTCTCGTGTTTTCAGCTAAATTCCTTCTTGGCTCTGGACTCAGCTTGAGTTGCTGCTCTGAAACACTGGCGTACAACAGTATCCTCAGAAGCCACATGGTGTCACTAAAACAGTACTTAACGCAGCTGGCTGGGAATTTGCAGTCTGAGACTAGAGTTTAAGTCCTTTTGAGGGAAGGAAGACGGCACCTTTAATTAAAACTGGAACATGATATTAGCTTTAATGTGCCAGACACGGCTTCTGTCCTATCAACTGGGTGAGCCATGGTTAAAAAAAATTACAAGCTCTCCCCACTCTCTCTCTGGCTTTAAGCTTTCACCACTCCTCTTCCTTTTCCTCCCCACTGATGTTTCCTTGTCTCAGAGCTCGTCTGTGGTCACCGTATATTAGCTCCCCCCCCCCGCCCCGAGGCGGGAGCTGGCGGAAAGCTGCATGCTGGGTGCTTGGGCTTGTGAGTGCATGTGGTTTGGTTCATGGGGAAAGCCTCCTACCTGGCTGTGCTTGGCCCTCGCAAGAGGCTGCAGCTTGCAATGCTGACAGCCTTAGCAGCTTGTGCTGTTGCCATAGTAGGAACATCCCCCAAAAGCTTTCTTGAATAGCACAGAATAAAGCCTAGTGCAGCAACCTACATGCTGTTAAGAAGGGGGCTTTGCTGCAGGCCTTGCTTTGACGATAGCAAAATTTTTGTACTTTTAAAACAAATTAGTTTAATTGCATCTCTAATTGTTTAGCAGCTTGCAGTGTCTGTTTTCCCATTGCTGCTGTTACAGCCCATAGCTTTCCTGTGAGAGCAGGCATGTGCCAAAGAGACCAGGCCTGGCTGCTTCTGCTTGTGTTGCTGTTGCACAGCAGCTGTATGCAAGCCCGAGGGAGTACGTTTGAAGGCTGAAGCAGTGCTACTGCCTGTAAGTAAATACTTGCAAAGAGAAGTGTGAGATGACGCTGGCAGCTCAGGCGGGTGCCTTGCCCTGCACAGCTGAGCTCTTGGTGGCCCCTCCCCAGCTCAGCAAGCAGCACTCCTTCAAGGGGACACCTCTGCTACTGGGGTGCGGGCACTCCTTTAGATTCGGGAGACCAGACCCAGGAATATTGTGGATAGGCCACCACCACAAACACATGTTCTGGTTGCTTTTTAAGCTAGTGTTTAGGGGCAGGCATCAACCATGAGAACATAACTCAGCTGAAACCTATAGCCTATTCCTGCTGGGCAGTGCTAGCAACCACCTGCACCAGGCAGTGAGCAGTGCCTTCTGTTGTCCCAGTTGGGCTTTGCAGCTTTTTTATATTCCCATCACACTTAGCTTCAGGGAGATGTTGGGAGTGAACCATGCCAGACACGCAGGACAGATGCAGCAGAGGTGTAATTGCCTGGTGAGTGAGCACACGTAGCGCAGCCCTCCATGATGACACCTGCAAACTCTGGGGTCCTGACCCATTGGTCCCAGCTGAGTTCTGCTCTAGCTCAAGGTGATGTACAGTAATGTTACAGCGTCTGTTTGGCAATTACACTAACACCCTGCCCAAGCACTTTGTCACCCTGTTCATCCCCGCACTAGAGAAGTCAGTGCGATTCTCTTTTGGGTGGTTCCATTGCTGTGGTCCAGTTTTGTAACAGATGATGTAAACTCATCTGTAGGGAGGATGTGTTTGGACATGGGTCCCTGAGTAGTGGGGCAATGCATAAGTAGCCTCTTGAGAAATAAAATACTCACTCTAAGGAGCGGATCCAAGTCACAAGGAAGTGACCAGATAAGGTGTGAACATGCTGTGAGATTGTGAAACCATCCCTGAAACATGCCATTCTGCAGGGGAACAAACTTCTACAGTGTCATTGCAACTGAAGTCATGTTTGATTAATATCAAGTTATGGAGTATGAAATTAAACTTTATGGACAAAAGAGCTTCAAGGTGCAGCAGTGTCAGAAGAGTAAGGTTTACCAGCTGACCTACTGACTGCACATGGATCTGTGTTACCTGATTCTTTTCAGTGTGAAATTCAAGCCAAACTGCGTTTTTATCTCATGGACTAACCCGTTTGTGATTCTCCCTCATTACTGAGATGTAGATTTTTCTGAGCAAGTATGTGAATGGCATTATGAAAACGCACAAAATCCCAGGCATAATGAGCTGACCTCACTTCTTCCCCTTGATTTCACTGGAGGTGTGTTTACCTCAGTGCTGAATTTGTTCTTCTGGCTTTCATCCCAGTGTTTGGATCCAGCCTTGCAGATTACATAATTGGGTTGTGATCCTTGCAGTGCTTGCTGCCTTCTGTTCTGCTCTGTTATTAACATCGGCAGTACATGGTTTACAGGAATGCTTAAAAGTGAAAAAGACATCATATTTAAACTACGAAAGGGAAAAGTATTTCACATTATTAAACAATGGAACTAACTGCCACCAGAATGGATACTGGAAAGCAGGTTTAAAAATATCAAAAGGGGAAGAGAAAGTGGAAAAGAAAGGAAGGTTAAGTTTTTCAAAACTTAAGCTCTCACTAATCTAATTAAGATTAAAAAACCCTTCCCTCTGGGGAAAATAGTTCATGAATATTTACAGCAGGCCACAGATCATGAAAGGACACCATAGTCTGCTTAAAACATACCTTTTCCCATATTCCTGTCTAGCTACCATTTGCCACTAAATTAGTGGAAATGGCACATCCTGCTCAAAAAAGAGACTTGTAGAGTTTTTTAAAGCATGTTTATGTGACTGCACATGTTTGTGTAAAAAGGGAGTTATGACAGTTTATACCACAAAGGTTACAGTAAGAAAAAGCACTTCTTTATGACAATAATTCACAAATTCACAAGAATCACTTTAATATACAAAGCAATTACTACCATTCTGAAACACAAAGCATCTAGTATGTACATAGTGTTAATAAAATGCATTATAACCCAGTACAATTTTTTTTTAAAAAACACAGATAAAGCACAAAAATAAAGTAAAAAAAAAAAACCACAACAGGGATGTTTCTAGATTTTTTGGGAGATGTAAATAAGAATTTATTTTCCCCCAATAATGGATTTTCATTTAGTATTTAACTTCCACAAGTATGTGGGAGTCAAGTTCAAATACCCTGTTCTGTGCTGACATGGTTTGGGTAAAGAATCAGAAATGCAGATGAGGTGAACTTACTCTTTCCAGCTTACATTACAAAGGAGAATAATAACAACCCTCGCTCTGGAAGCTTCCCTGAAAAACGTTGTTCCAAAACAATTTCAAATTACAAATCCAGAGTAGAAATAACTGATTTTTTAATTGAACAACCAATTTGTGGACAAGTCTGTGGAGGGGCTGGCTGCCAACTAGCACCTCTTCTTGCCCTGTTCCCCATCCCATCCCTTGAAGGTCATATAAGCAGCACAGTTTCAAATCTCATACAAACTCGAAGTTCTAGAGCTTTTTAAAATTAATGTTTTAATATAAATAAATGTCATTACACACAAAAAAAATGGAGTGGCACCTGGAAAAAACACAATTTGTGGAGAGCATCTGAACATCCTTAGTTCTTAAGAGTGGCCATTTCCAGATGACTAACCGGCTCAAGGCCTTCCTTCCCCG